AACCCTAAACCCCAAAGCCCAAAAACCCCTAACCCCTAAACCCTAAACCCTAAACCCCTAAACCCTAAACCCTTAACCCCTAAACCCTAAGCCCTAAACCCCAAACCCGTAAACCCCAAACCCCTAAACCCCAAACCCCTAAACCCTAAACCCTCAACCCTAAACCCTAAACCCTAAACCCCTAAACCCTGATCCCCCTCCCTTCTTTTTCAGGTTGGAGCCTCGGCTCCGACCGCCTGGACATGCTCTGCCAGGCCGCAGCTGGGGGGGAGAGTGCTTGAAGCCTGAAGGTGCTTTAGGGTTTAGGGTTTAGGGTTCAGGGTTGGTTTTAGGGTTGAGGGTTTAGGGTTTAGGGTTGAGGTTAGAGGGTTGAGGATTTAGGGTTTAGGGTCTAGGGTTGAGGGGTGTAGGGTTGAGGGTTTAGGGTTGAGGGTTTAGGGTTAAGGATTTAGGGTTTAGGGTTCAGGGTTGAGGGTTGAGGGTTGAGGGTTTAGGGTTGAGGGTCGAGGGTTCAGGGTTTAGGGTTTAGGGTTGTTGAAAGGGCTTATAGGGGTTTATAGGGTTGGAAGTTTGGGTTTATGGGGTGTAGCGTGGGGTGTCGGGGCTCTTTGACAGATCTGGGTGAGGCGGGGGGGAGGTTTAGGGTTTAGGGTTGGGGGTTTGGGGGTTAGGGTTTGGGGGTTTAGGGCTTCAGAGTTGGGCGTTCAGGGGTTCGGGTTTGGGGGTTTAGGGGTTAGGATGCAGGGTTTGGAGTTTAGGGTTGGGGGTTCAGGGGTTTGGGGTGCAGGGTTTGGGGTTTAGGGTTGGGGGTTCAGGGGTTTGGGGTGCAGGGTTTGGGGTTTAGGGTTGGGGGTTTACGGGTTTGGGGTGTAGGGTTCAGGGTTGGGAAGTTCAGCCGCTTTCTGGGGAGGCTCCTGGTGCACTCGACCATTGTACGCGGTGCAACCTTTCGGAGAACCGCATCGAGGACTTCGCTGTGGCTGGTGCACTGCGTTTTAGACTCAGGGGTCCCCCAAAACCCTAAACCTTAAACCTTAAACCTTAAACCCTCAACCCTAAAAGCAAAACCCTAAACCCTAAACCCTGTCCTTCAATCAGGATCTCAACCATCAACCCTCAACCCTAAAGGCCCTAAAGCTTAAACCCGAAACCCGAAACCCCAAACCCTGGGGTGGGCATCCTGCAGAAAACGGCGCCCATCGCACTTCAAAAAAGGCAAAACCCTCAACCCTAAACCCTAAACCCTAAGCTTGCAGTGGAGTTGTTCTCAACCCTGCAGGACAGATCCGTGCCCATCATCTGTGAGAAGCTCTTGCCCAGAGCACAGGCCGAAAGAAAGCCTTCTGAATAAGATTGATACTACTATTATTAGTATTCTGATTTTTAGTTATTGATATTCTTGTAGTTATTGGTATGACCAGTACTACCAAAGCTACTAATATTCTATTGATGATGACTTATATATGTAGTATCGTTATCTTTATCATTTGTAATACATTGTTGTTATTATTGTTATAGTTACTATCCCAACTATTAGTATTGCCATTAGTTTAATCATGGTCATTGTTATTGTTCTAATTCTTGTCATCGTTGCTGTTATGGCTACACTGTTACTGTTACTATTACTCTTCTTTCTTATAGCTCTTAGTATTATGACTATCATTGTGGCTATGATTGTTTTTTAGTTTAGTTATTCGTATTGTCATCAATCTGCTGTTGTGTTATGCTAGCAAGAGTATCTGTCATTAGTTGGTGAATGAGTTTCAGGAATAAGGATAGGTAATGTGATGAGTATTGGAATTACTCTTATTATAGTATGTTCATTCTCGTGACAATGTTAGAAGTCTTGATGATGATTAGTAGTTTTGTGATTCTAGATACTATTATCACTCAATACTACCATCATGATGATAACTGTTCGGGCCTGTATCTTTGAAATTAGCCTTCAGCTCTGTTCAGAAGCCTTGAGACATCCCGTAGAGATATGAGGGTTCTATACGGGTTTCGGGTTTAGGGCTCTGCAAGGGTGCTATAAGGGTTATGGTTCTCGGAGAGCCCGATACTGCTGAAGTCAGGAAAATACCACCTTAGGCAATAGGCGTGTTAAGGGGGCTTGTAAGCATTGTAAATCAGGAAGATACCTTAAGTTATGGGGGCTTACTGTAACGTTTTAAAGTACTCTCCTGAATCCAGGGGTACTTCGAGCAGCCTTTGTAGTGGCTTCCACAGGAGCCCACCCTGATGGTAGTATAGCAACCCTTTTCTTGTACCCCCCCCTAACAGCCCCACCTGCAGCATGCGACGTGAGGGCTTGAGTTCTTACACCCTCAACCCTAAATCCTTAAGGAAGCCTCATAGAACCGTTCTACTACACTATGCTGTACTGAACTAACTATATATAAGCTACATGGTACTATACTATACTATATTCTGCGAACCCGTAGCATACTATGCTGACCATACTATAGTATACCAAGGGTGCCCTCTGCTTCCGACCAGGCGTTGAACCTCTCCCATAATCTTATCGGCGTTGCCGGCATGCGCTACTTCGCCGCGGCCTCGGATTTATTTCTCACCCACCCTACTAAACCCCAACCCCGATAGAACCCCAGGAACCAAAGGTCGCAGAACCCAAAGCAAACCAAGTGTAACTTCCCCAGCAAATCCTTTGCCCTGACACGCGAAGTCCCTAACCAAACCCTGGTCACTAACAACCTTTCCGAAAGCCGAAAAGCACCAGAAAAAAACCCTAGATGCCCTAAACCCTGGACGCCGCAAGACTTGAAACTCCTAGAAAGCCCCCACAACCTCGGCACTGCAACCACTACAATACACCCTCAAACCTCTACAGATGAAAACGCCTCATACCACCAAAAAACTCACCAAACCCTGAGCCCTAAGCTCCTAACCCCTTAACCCTAAGCGCTTCAATCCAAGCAGGAGACGGTTCTTCGAAAGAGTGGGGCCAACACGCCTTTGATGGAATTGAACCTCGAGGCCCGTCTTTTTGATCCGAATTCTGGGTTCTGTGTTCCTTCAAGGGGTTCCTTGTAGGGTTTAGGGTTTAGGGTTTAGGGTTGTAGGGTTCTGTTCTCCACCAAAAACCTAGCAAGAAGACTCGAGACCACCGTCCCTCACATCTTAGACCAAGCCTAAACCCTAAATGCCTGTTTTCCTTGAAGGCGAAGGGGTTCCTGCAGGGTTCCTTGCCGGGTTCCTTAAGGGGTTCCTCAAAGGGTTCCTTGTTGGGTTCCTTGCAGGGTTCCTTGAGGCGGGTTCCTTGAAGGGTTCCCTGCAAGGGGTTCCTTGTAGGGTTTCTTACAGGGTTCCTTAAGGCGGGTTCCTTGAAGGGTTCCCTGCAAAGTTCTTTAAGGGGTTCCGTGTAGGGTTCCGTGCAGGGTTCCTTGAAGGGTTTCTTAAAAGGTTCCTATGTGGGGTTCTAAAAAGGTTTCTGAAAGGGATCTCTCAGGGTTTAGGGTTCGAAGGGATCGTGGGACATGGGGACTAGGGCTCTGAATCAGGTAACTATACTTCAAGTTATACATACTTCTAACTATACTCATAACTATACTTAGAACTATACTTATAACTATACTTAGAACTATACTTATTATAACTATACTTAGAACTATACTTATAGCTATGCTTATAGCTATGCTTGTAACTTTGATTACGAAGCCCCCCGATCCTCCAAGTGGGTTCTTCTTCAGGAGCTTCACCAGGGTTTAGGGCTCTTCTAAGGGTTCTTTTAAGGGAGCCTTTCAGCTTCGAAAAAGTGCTTAGGACTTTAGGGTTTAGGGTTTAGGGTTTAGGGTTCTAGGAGCTTTGGGTTTAGGTTTGTTCTGGAAGTTAGCATAGTGAGGAAATACGGTTGATGCCCGAAATCCTGCATCACTTTGAACCTACCCACGGCTCCCCTGCTACCCCCAATTTTGATATTCCACTGACGCAGGGGCTAAAACCCGGGAATGCGCGAATGCCCAAAATTCTGCATGACCCCCTGGGGATGCACCATTAAAACTAAGGGGTTGAGGGGAAGTGGATAGCGCGACATGGGATATCTGCGATGTTGCAGGATTCTGGGGATCAGCAGTAGTAAATAATATGGCCCCTTTTTGTGGTGGTGTAAGTTCCTTAACAAGAACTCAAGTATTTCCCAGCTTCTGAGAAAACTGCGTTGGTTCGTTGGTTCCTATGAAGACGACCAGTATCACCACTATCACGATAGCAACAATCATCACGCCTATTGTTGCTATTATACTAATAACTCATGTCGTACATGTTTTTTGTTGTTACAGTTGGGATTTCCATATTCATCGCCGTTAGTATGATGATTGATACTATTGCTATTGCTATCTGTATTATCGCTGCTGTCGATGTAAGTGCTATGATTAATCCTGCATTTCTTATTACTGTTGTTGTTATGCATATGATTACTATTCATCGTCGTTACAACTAGCACTTGCACTCTTTTCATTCTTAATCGCTCTTATCATGCACCTTTCCATGTTCCTGCTTGTTCTTCATTAACTTCTAGTGTCATAAGTATCCTTATTGCAATGTGAATATGACTGCTGGTTTCCGTTCCTTGTTACCATCTTTCTGCTATTATTCCCGTTCTTGCTCTAAGTTGCCATGGGCGCTCTGGGCTGACTTTAGATTGCCAAGGCTTCCCTAAACCCTCAACTCTAAACCCCAACCCTGCAGCTTAAACCCTCAACCCTAAATCCTGAAGCCTAAACCCCAAAACTCAAGCCGCGACGGACCCCAACCCTAAACCCTAAACCCCAAACCCCTAACCCCGAACCCCTAAACCCTAAACCCTAAACCCTAAACAGCTAAACCCTAAACCCCTAACCCCGAACCCCTAAACCCTAAACCCTAAACCCTAAACCCTAAACAGCTAAACCCTAAACCCCTAACCC